CCCATTCTGGCTTGTCCCCAAGGGCCCCTCCCTCGAGGGAGGAAGAGGGCTCACCCATCGACCACCAGTGCCCCTCAGCCAGCCCTACCTCGCCAGCAGGCATCCGAGTCGAGTCGCTCCCCCGCCCTTCCCTCACCGCCAACTGCCGTTAGGAGATTTCAAATTTCTGCCTCAGTTCCAAAGCAGCCAATCGCCACTCGCCTGTCGGGCCTTGCCGCCAGCCGATTGGGCACAGAGGAGAGAGGGAGGCGGGAAAGAGGTCAGGAATACGCCCATGATCACATGGCCTGGGCTGACTGCTGCAGTGCAGTGCTGAGGCAGCCACAAGTTTCAGTCCCACAGGAGTCATGGGCCCTGGAATTTGGACACATTCTGTAAGTTGGCCCTTTTGCGGTAGCTTGGTTCAAAAATGGCTGGCCTATGACACACCGTTTTGCCCAGTTGAATGTTACAGAGAGGAGAGTTTTAGTATATGGATGGCTAGGATGGACCTACAAGAAGAACAGCAGCCAAGGTATTTTCAGCTTAGAACTGATACATCCTTGCGTGCATTAGGGCAAAGGCTTTCTGATTCTCTTTTCAACAGCCTTCTGAGAAATTGTCAAGGAGGTGGGTCTCTTCAGAGATCATGGGGAAGTCGCAGCAGTGGGTTACCTAACAGTCTCTTGCATCTCTCAGCCTGGAAACCAGCACTTACCAACCAAGGGAAAGAGAATTTGAGCTACTTTGGAACGGTGTTTTTTAAACAATGAAGTCAGAATGACAGATTTGGGGTGGGATTGGACTAGTCGAAGACCTGCTCGCTGTAGGAATCCAAGTTAAAAAATACTTGCCAGCTTCAGCCTGAACAAATTCAATGAACGGGAGAATGCTAGCCTTCTGGGAACTGTTTCTGCTGTGAAGCTGTTACCGTTAGAAATCATCTTAACACTCAGGCAAAACTGGCCTTTCTATAATCTCTGTCCAATAGTCCCGAACAAGGAGGAACATGTAGCATCCTTTCAGGTACTTGAAGACTGCTATCATGTCCCTTCTCAGTGGACCTTTTTCAAGAATCAGCATATCCTCCAATCCACTGTTTAGGTTCCAGTCCCCTGATAATTCTTGTTCTTTATTGGATCCATACCAACTTGTCAACCCCCTTAAAATGTAGTGCCAAGAACTGGCCATTACCTGAGATGGAGTCTGACCAGTGCCAAATAGAGTCGACCTATTCATTTCCCATGATTTGGAAACTACTCAGCTATGAACCACAACAGCTGAAGTGAGGGAAGAAATCTAATTTATTTGCAGTTCAGTTATTATGGAAGAACTGCTTCAGAAAGAAGCTTTTGATCTGAAGTGCTTTGGGATCCCATCATACCCAAGCTTAGGGCAAAGACCATTTGTAGCTTGCACTGCTGGGCAGATGTGCTTGAGATGTTGAGATTTGTGTTGGTCTGGATATATGTCCTCCTCCCCCCCCCACGCTGTTTATAGGTTTAGAACTCTTTTTCTTCCACCAAGGACGATGTCCTAGGGAGATACACTGAAGAATCCTAGGCAGGAACTGGTGATTTGGCCTTGACAAACCTCTTGAAACAGGATTTTCAGAACCAAGCTAGGATTTTTCAAAAGTCATATTCAAAAGTATAGCAAAAATGCCCTTTTTGTAGTTGGCCTGACTCGGGTGGCTTCTTGAAACCCAGCTGCAGAACCTAGGACCTTAAGGCTATACCTAGGAATCAGAAACTGTGGGCGAGGAACAACCCATAATTAACTTGAAGCATGAGTTTTGGCAGGCTTAGAACCCTTCCTTTCCAAAACATTTGCTCTTTCAGGGACTCATTTATTTGGTTAATTTATATCTCCTCTAGGAGCTTCTGGCATTCTCAGTTTTCTTATAACAACCCTGTGAGGTAAGCTGGGCCCAGAGTTCACCCACTGAACTCTGATGACTGAGGGTGGACTTTGCTTCTCACCCAACCTGTGGAGGTTGGAAAACATCAGCTAGAAATGAAGACATTTGTAGGGCCCCATGTAGAATTCCATCACTGAGACCAGGAGATTTAAAGATTACCACCACCATGCTGTGAGTGTCCCGGGATTAATGGGGTACCCTGGGTTTTCTGTAGGCATCTTTTATTGTTGCATTATTGATTGCAGTGATTTATTCCTCTTGTCCCATTTATCTTAACTTAAAGGTTCAATTTATGACTAGCCCACAAATTCCACTCCTTTGCACAACCAGATACTAATCTGCCAAAACATCTGGAAGGAGATTCTGCCATAGCCAGTGATGGTCAGGAATACCTACCGGTTTAGGCCAGGTCTCTTTTAGGCAGAGATGTCAATTTTTTGGAGCTGGGAAAAAAACCAAACCTGAAGAAAATTCACCACCTCTGATCTGGTTGTGCCTCTTGGCCATGCTAGGAATTGCCCTCCAAACACATCTGGGCTAGTAGTGGGGAATACTGAGAGCCTATTCAGCAGCATCTGGAGCTCCACGGGTTGCTTGAAAACTAGCAACTCTGATGTTACTTCTGGTTCCAGCTCAGTTTTTTTTTTTTAATGGCTCAGTTTCCTGTGACTTCAGCTCTGCCTAAGAATTTTTTTCCAGGTTCCACTCTCAGTTCAGAAAGTCCAGTGGAAACAAACCCATTGTCCATTGTTAGAAAACTATTGTTTTCCAGCTGATGATCATGAGTTAGAAATCTCTTCTGTTAAAAATGCATAATTTAAGCCCTGAGTTTTCCTGATGAGTTTCTTGGCATTCTGTGAGGTCTGTGCCTGTTCTGCAGAAAGTAAGGAAGATGATCTTGATGGAGATATGCAAGATCCATCGCCCTGACTCTACGCCATCAGCACAGGAACAGAGTGGGAAATCGGGGCCAGATTTCTTGTCCTAAACAACTGTCTGATTCTCAAAATCAGAAAGTCCACAATTCAAGTTTAGGAGCATGAGATGAGAGATCCAAATTTCGACTCCACTGAATCTAGCACATGCTTGTAATGGAAGGCTATGGGTGAGAGGAAGATGAGCAAGGACCCAGTGGGAGCACAGACTGGCCCTTCAAACCCATAGCAGTGATATTTAGCCACTTTGGAAGACTTGAAGTGGGATACCAAGCCGCTGGGTTGGGACTCCAAACTGCCTGCAGTTGCGAGCTCTGGCTTACGTTGTCCAACGTAAAATAACCAACAGGACTTATTTTACAAGAGCAGTATCATGACTGTGCCTTTATCTGAGAGACCTTTTTGCATTGTGTGGGCAGCCATTAAGGAAAATGAGGATGAAGCTCAAAGAAAAAACAACTTTAATGGATTCATTTGCATTCATTCCCTCTCCCAGATTCAGAAAGGTCAGTTACTGGCTATGATGCTGTCCACCCAGTCATGCAAGACGCTGACCCGAGCATAGACAGCTGGCGTGGTAACTGAACAGCGGCCACTGCCCCAAGAAACGATGCCCACCAATTTCCAAACATCTCCCTTCTGGCACACAAGGGGTCCACCAGAGTCACCCTGCAGATGCAAAAAAACAAAAACAAAACAAAACAGTATTTGAGCTCCCTGGAGACCCCACTTTTTCCCATCATGCAGAATTTCAGGGGTGTATTAACCCATTTTTCCCTGCTTGGAAGTTGGAAGCAAAACGATCTTGCAGGTTTAGTTGTAATATAGGCTCAACACAGGCTGTGCTCACCCAAAAGAACCAGGTTAGTGAAAGACACAGTGGCTACATTTGCACAGCCCGCTAAGCTTGGCTAGTATAAACCCTGGTTAATTTCTCTGTGGCTTGTGGAAACCCAGCCCACTTTGGTAGTTTATCATGCAATATTTTGAACAACCCAGAAATTGGGGCAATCGAGTAATCCAATTAAGTGTTATGAACACAACCATTGTTTTTTTAAAGCCACACTTCAACACCAACATGGGGGAAACGGTAAATCCCAGCCCACCCAGTGTTGTATCACAGCCCTATCTGGCTTCCCCACAAATGTTGGGTGGTCCTTAGTCCGTCGTTTGTTGCCCTAGCCTGGATTAAAAACTTTCCTCTAAGTACCAAGTCAAAGGAAACAGAACGATCATATTTGGGCTGCAAATCTCCAAATGCTCACTAGAGAGCAGCAAAGGATTAGAGTTTTCTGCTCCCCCCCCCAATTATCTAGATCGCTTTTAAGATGTGTGGACTTCAACTCCCAGAATGCCCCAGCCAACATCTTAAAGTTGCTGAGGTTGAGAAGCACAGGTCTAGATTTTTGCAACCCCAATAGAGTAGCCTAAAAAAGAGCAGTAAGAGAAAGGAGGAGGTCTGGGTGGGGTGGTTGGGGTGCTCACCATACACGAAGATGAGCCTGCCCCACCCGCGCAGATCATCAGATCAGTAATTTTGGTGCCCCAAAATTTCTTGCACTGCTCATTGGACAGAAGAGGCAGAGCTGTTTGTTGCAACTTGTTCGGGGTGGTGAAAGCTGCAGGAGAAAAGATTAAATCAGCAGCCGGAACGGCTCCTGTATGAAAGAACCAATCCCATCTTTGGCTGCTCCCGGCCTCCCCCAAGCTCAGAACTCTGTCCCAGAAGGCTGATAGTCACTTTGTCCTAGACTTTTCTTAGCCTCCCCTCCAGACCCCTGTTTGCATTAAGCTGGAGACACTACCCCACCGCTTTGGCCTATTGTTGCAACTTGAAGTGCTTGCAGTGGACAAAGAGAGAAATCCACCATCTCTTCCTGTTTCCCCTGCCTTCCCTTCCTCTGTTATAAGTTGAATTTTAAATGTAAATTTTTCAGGGCAGGATTTAAGCTTTTGTAGTCAAGTGCCATGCAGAAAATAATCACTTCATTGTAGAGCTGATGATTTCAGCTAGCAGAAACTAGCGAGCTTCCTTTCCTTTCCTTTCCTTCCTTTCCTTTCCTTTCCCTTTCCCTTTCCCCTTCCCTTTCCCTTTCTCTTCTTCTCTCTCTCTTTCCCTTTCCCTTCTTCTCTCTCTCTTTCCCTTTCCTTTCCTCCCCCTTCCCTCCTTTCCTCCCCTTC